CCTAGAGCCTGCAGAAGAGAACATGATGCTGCCGGCTGCCAGCACCTTGATTCTAGCCTGGAGACCCCCATATCAGACTTCTGAGGTACAGAAATGTAAGATAATAATTTCTATTGTTTTAAGCCACTATGTTTGTGGTAGTTGTCACAGCAGGAATTGGGAAGGAATATTATCTCTCAGCACCAGCTCCCTGTACCTGGCAGGAAGGAGGGAAAAGGCACTTGCCACTTAAGCCAATGCTTCTTTCCTTTTTTTCTTTTCTATTTTTTTTTTTGAGACAGGATCTCACTCTGTCACCCAGATTGGAGTACAGTGCTATGATCATCACTCACTGCAGTCTTGAGCTCCTGGGCTCAAGTGATCTTCCCACCTTAGCCTCCAGAGTAGCTAGAAGTAAGGATGCGTGTCACCATGCCCAGCTAATTTTTTATTATCTGTAGAGATGGGGTCTTGTCTTGCCATGTTGCCTAGGCTAGTCTTGTCCTCCTGGGCTCAAGGAATCCTCTAGCCTCAGTCTCCCAAAGAGCTGGGATTGCAGGCATGAGCCACCGCACCTAGCTCTTTCTTTCCTGTTGAAGGAGTTGTCTTGATGTCCCTTCTGATCACTTTTACTTACATCTCGTTGGCCAGAACCATCCTGTGGCCAGCTTTATCTTCAGTGGAAGATAAAGCTTTTTTTAGTTGGGCACATTTCATCCCAACCAAGTACGGATTCTGTGCGTTAGTTTGGAAGAGGGGGAGCATTGATATTGAGAAGACCACTTAGCGTCCCCACCATACGCTCCCAGGCACAACCAACTATTCTACAGCAGCTGTTCTTTCCTCTATTACTGCTCTTTTTGGTTTTTATTGTAATTTATGTGTTCACATGGCTGTTCTCATTACTTGACCAAGAAGTCTCACGGCAGACACTGTGTCTGATTTATTTCTCCATCTCCAGTGCTCATCACCATGCCTGATACAGAGAAAGTGTTTGCATGAAGTTAGATGGATGAATGTCTAAATAAACTTTGAAATAAGAGAATGATCGATGCATTTCCCAGAGTGAGAGGTCCTTTATATTTTCCTATGAGGATGATCTATTGGGGTTAGGGAGATTTTATAAGACCATTTGGCCATGATTGCAACCTCATCTCCAGTAAATTAAACCTACACAGCTGCAGTGTGTCACCTTTTCTTACGGCTTTTTACAGTTTGCTTTTTGCTCAGAAGGAACTGAACAAGCAGGTTAGAGGCTGTTATGTGCACCTGCCACAGCCTACGGATCCTCAATTAACCTTGCGTATAATTTACACTTCCTGCCCATTCTTTATTTTTAGCACAGCGGTATCTATTTGGCTCTTCCAGAGAAGACTGCATTAGATTTCAGACATGAAACTACAAAACAGTGGCAATTGCAGCCTGGCGGGGATAAGTGTTGTTAACCCCATGACACTCTGTTCCTTGGGAAGCTCCTTTGCCCCAGGACTCAGGTTTTCCTGAGAAAGATAGCAGCCTGGACTGACCATACCCTCAGAGCCTGGCCCAAGGCCACATGTGCATTTGTAGAAAAATCTGCTATTGGATCTGACATAAACTCTCTGTTTCCTTCATTCATTCCCTTTGTGTTGAAACTCAGTTGTTATCACAAAGGTTTCGTTTCGATCCTTTTTTTCCTCTCTCCCTCTCTTGCGGTTCCTTCTCAGTTACACAGTATCATGACCCAAATCTTTAGCACCTGAACTATATAGTTGAGAACCTTGAAACCTATAGGGCCAGGGCACGCTGTGGACACCGGCCAGCCAGTGGACATCAGGTCGTGGAGAAATCTTAACCACTTGGGGTTGCTTCACCAGAAGAAGTGAGTTACTGATAGCCATTTTCAGTTTTAGTCAACCATTTTTTTTTGAGACGGAGTTTCTCTCTTGTTACCCAGGCTGGAGTGCAATGGCGCGATCTCGGCTCACCACAACCTCCGCCTCCTGGGTTCAGGCAATTCTCCTGCCTCAGCCTCCTGAGTAGCTGGGATTACAGGCACGCGCCACCATGCCCAGCTAATTTTTTGTATTTTTAGTAGAGACGGGGTTTCACCATGTTGACCAGGATGGTCTCGATCTCTTGACCTCATGATCCACCTGCCTCGGCCTCCCAAAGTGCTGGGATTACAGGCGTGAGCCACCGTGCCCGGCCTAGTCAGCCATTTTTAACATGACCTTGTTTGTTTTAGAATCCCCTGTAGTGCCTAGCTCAGGGTCCATCCAGAAAAACTCAGTAAATGTTGGTTTTGAATTTAAATTGATGTTGGGGTGTCCCCATCTAGCCCCTTCACTAGACACATGGGAAGCGGAGGCCTGGCCCTCTTTCATGCTGCCTTCTCAGCAAAAGGCTTCAAGAGGCATTTTGAAAAGGGAATTTATCGTTTTCATTCTGGTTAGATAGGTAATAAGTGAATGTTTTAAATTGGGAAAGTATTAAAAATTATGTTTTAAAAATGAAATCTATCATTCCATTACTCAGAGACAACTATCACTGACATTTTTCTGTTTTTTCAGTCTTAATCTCCCTGTTTCCCTCCAGATATCTCAGAGAATAGAGGATTAGGGAAGGGAGAAGTGGGTGCCTTGTGTTCTTCCTAATCCTTTAGCTTCAGGGACATGTAAATACATATAACACACATAGAAATATATGTGTATATATATTATATAATTGGAATATATATTATTGGGATATATATTGCTAGGATATACATACATAATTATGTAATGTACACACACTTATATTTGACCTGTACCAGTTCATTATTACCACAATAATGCCATATAACACTCCTTCAAATTCAGTGGCTTAAACCCAAAGTCATTTATTCTTGCCCACACTTCTGTGAGTAGGCTGGGTATTTTGCTGATCTAGGCTGGGCTTAGCTGAGTGGCTGTAATTTCAGGTGCATCTGAACTATATAGCTGAGAGCCCTGAAACTGATTGGGCCAGGGCACACTGCACCTATGCATGGGTTGGTCTCAGGTCTATTCCATGTGTGTTCTTTCTGAGGTCCAGGCTGAAGGGGCAGCAGCTGCCCTTCTCTTGGCACAGGAAGGGGTACCAGAGGACAAGCCTAACTGGGCAAGCACTTTTTAAGTCCCTGCTTGTGTCTTATCTATTCATATCCCATTGGCTAAAACAGATCACATGGCTGACACCAGGGTCAAGGGACTGGGAAGTGTATCCCATCCACCATGAGCCTAGAGTAAATCACATGGTCAAGATCAATATCATTGGCTTGGAGGAGCATATGCTCTTCCCGTGGAATAAGGGAGGAAGGAAGGAAATGTTTTTGAGAATAATTAAACTTTTTTTTTTTTTGAGACGGAGTCTCACTCTGTAGCCCAGGTGAAAGTACAGTCACACAATCTCTACTCACTGCAACCTCTGCCTCCTGGGTTCAAGTGATTCTCTTGCCTCATCCTCCACAGTAGTTGGGATTACAGGTGTGCATCACCATGCCCAGTTAATTTTTGTATTTTTAGTAGAAACGGGCTTTCACCAATGTTGGCCAGGCTGGTCTCGAACCCCTAACCTCAGGTATCCACCTGCCGTGGCCTCCCAAAGTGCTGGGATTACAGGCATGAGCCATCGCAACCAGCCCAAGAGTAATATAATCTACTGAACACCTTAAGTGTCTGCTAAAGTACTCTGTGCCAACATATGCAATGTTTAACAAGGTTGGGGATGTGGGGAACACCTGAGAACCCATGTGGTGAGAGTTTAGCACAATGGTTAGGAACAGGGTCTAGAGTCAGACCTCCTGGCTTGAATCCTTGCTTCAGGGCTCTGCGGCACTAAAGCCTGCTTTTCCAGGTTACTTCACCTTGCCACACCCAACTGATCTCATTGGTAAAATGGGGATTCCCTACTCACAGGGTCATTGGGAAGTTTGGATAAAATAGCCCACATGAATTCTTCGCTAAGTTCCTGGCACAGAATAAGTGCTCAGTAAACACTGGTGGCTATTATTATCATTTCACTGAAAGAATATGGCTGTTGAGATTTTCCCCATATCATAGCTGCAGCTGCTGTTCTGGAATATTTTCCAGAGTCTCCTGGCTGTGCTGAAATTTCCCTTTTACAAAATACATAGGATGGCTGTGAAAACTGAGGAAAGTTCCAGAAGGCAAGGGCAGTTGCATTCTGTCTTCTTTATTTCCCCTTTTTTTGGCAGTAGAATCCAGGCCACAGAGGGAGAGGACAGCAGGCTCCAAAGGGTACTGGGGCCACCGGCTATTTCTTGGCAACATACTTCTTTTGAGCAAAGATGGCCCTTTCCTTTTTTTTTTCTTTTTTCTTGAGACAGAATTTCACACTTATTGCCCAGGCTGGAGTGCAATGGCGTGATCTCAGCTCACCATAACCTCCACCTCCTGGGTTCAAGCAATTCTACTGCCTCAGCCTCCCGAATAGCTGGGGCTATAGGCATGTGCCACCATGGCCAGCTAATTTTTTGTATTTTTAATAGAGACAGGGTTTCTCCATGTTGGTCAGGCTGGTCTCGAATTCCCAACCTCAGGTGATCCACCCACCTTGGCCTCCCAAAGTGCTGGGATTACAGGCATGAGCCACCACTTTTTGGCCAACCTGAGAGAGCAGTTATTCTGAGATGGCCAGGGTAATATGAAGCTATTTTCCTTCTGATGTTATGTCCTCTGCTATATGAATATAATCTCCCTCCAAATAAGAAAGGTGTGCGTGCATCGGGTTGGCAGGGAGACATTGAAGCATATTGCATAGTAGTGGCTGTGAACCAGTGGAGGTAGTGCTGTGTTGATTTCCCTTGACCAATATCTGCCCAGTGACAGAGCTGGAAACACAGGATGTTGTGTAATGTAAAACCTTGGCCTGGCTCCTCAGCGTAATATAAAACGGAGGCTGCCAGGAAGGTACAAATAGCCCAACAGGAAGGAGCTGCTCTCTTGCCCATGGACAGCAGGACAATAAAGTAACTTGTCCTTTGTTTGTGTGTTTTCCAGGCTGGAGCAAGAAATACAAACGCTAGAAAGTGAAGAGTCCCAGATATCTGCCAAAGAGCAAATCATCCTAGAGAAACTGAAGGAGACAGAAAAATCCTTCAAGGACTTTCAGAAGGTGAAGAAAACAAACGTGATTTCTCTAAGTTATTTCTGTGGGGAAGTAAGGCCTAGCAAAATGGTGCCAGCTGGGAAACAGGCCATTTGGCGGTGATGAGAAATCCGAGCCACAAACTCTATAAAATGAGGGGCAGATGTGTGAGGACCAGGGGCCATCCTGAAGCTGAGCATGGCATGTCTTTTGGTGTGGGACCATCTGGCCTGCTGCAAGGCATAGGGAAGGGTCATTAGATTACCCCACCCGCCTGCTGTCTGGATCTCCGATATGCCTCACCCCTGAAAAGACTTCTCCTGTTGGACTCTAGAATTCTAAAACCAATTCTGATTAATCACAATAAACATGTTCTTTGTGGCTTTAATTATAGTTTGCTTTTTGAGTCTTTTCATTATAAAAAGGCCAGAAACAACACCCTGTGAAATGGATGTGAATTCCAAATACAAAGAGTGTAAATACATGAAATTTTACCGTATATAAAAACAGATCATGCTGTGTATCAAAGAGTATAGTCCGTAAAACCAGTAGACTCTGAGTAAAAATCTCAGGACTTCCCTCCATTTTTTTTTTTTTTTTTTTTTTTTTGAGATGGAGTTTTGCTCTTGTAGCCCAGGCTGGAGTGCAATGGTGAGATCTCAGCTCACTGCAACCTCCGCCTCCCAGGTTCAAAGCAATTTTCCTGCCTCAGCCTCACAAGTAGCTGGGATGACAGATGCCCGCCACCATGCCTGGCTATTTTTTTTTTTTTTTTTTTGGTAGAGACAGGGTTTCACCATGTTGGCAAGGCTGGTCTAGAACTCCTGACCTCAGGTGATCCACCTGCCTTGGCCTCCCAAAGTGCTGGGATTACAGGAGTGAGGCACCGTTCCCGGCCCTCCCTCCATTTTATAAACCTTTCTGCAATACCTATAAGTGACAGAAAAGCAATCTAATGAAATCAGTTTAGGATGGGATTTTCTGATTTCATTCTCCAACATGACCAAGGATATTTGCTAGATAATTGAAATAAATCTCTATTGGGAGACATTTGGTATAAATTGGGAATGGTAATTTTGGAATTCTAAACAAATTGTCCAGAAGAAAAGAGATCATTGCATTTTTCCAGCACAGTCAAATTCTGGGCCTGGGCATGGGAGAAAGACGGGTTAAGTCTTTAAAGATGGGAAAAGATGGGTTTATACGCCCACAGGAAGAGTAACACTCTGCCTTGTTGTGTTTGTTCCCACAGGGCTTCTCCAGTACGGACGGAGGTAAGTGCTCTCTGCCCCGACTGTAGATGAGTGTTTTTACCCTGGTCAGTTCAGGGGGTTTCATTAACAGGGTCTTAAGGAAGAGGTGCTGTGTTGATTTGTAAAGCATCAGAAGAAATTGCAGCTCTGGTTGCAGACCACTGAGGAGGTCCCAATTCCGTGCCTTCCCTGCCTGTCTTCTTCGGGAACTGTCTCTTGCCTCACTGTTTCTCATCTTACAGAATTAGCCTGGCTCTTCTACTTCCTTTTAGGTCCCAAAGGCTCAGTGCTTGCACCTCTCTTGTAAAGTACTCAGCAAAAAAGAGTATTAACATCAGGACCAGGTCCCTTGTAGGAAAGAGCCCGTTTGTCCTGGTGGTTAGATCTTTAGGCTGAAACACACATGGTAGTTTAGGAAATTCGGGGGAAATATCTGGTGTTTAGAAAATATTTCTACAGCTTCTGAATTTTCTTTGCTTTCTCTCTCTCTTTCTCTTGGATCAGAGAACTGTAGTTTCTTCTGTAGAATCAGGGCTGGGCAAAACTTTCCTCCCTGTGCGTGACAGTTGGTTCAGAGCATAGAAAGGTGGGAGCAAGGTCCTGGCTTCCTGGTGGTAAGAACAGGTCTTTCGCCTTCTCTCCCTTCCCTACCATTCCTCTTTCCTCTCCTCTCCTCTCCTCTCCTTACTTGGATGGTGGGGATGAATTTGAGATTGTATACTTCTCACCCTTCACCTTGCTCCCTAACCTCAGCTGCAAACCCGTGATTCCTACTTTCATTTGTCCCTCAGCTAGACCTGCTTTAAAATAGAGAGACTTAGTGGAAGGACCAGATATTGCCTGCTCACCTGGCTCCTAGAAAGTCACACTCTAGGGCTGGGTCTGGTGACTCAGGCATGTAAGCCCAGCACTATGGGAGGCTGATGTGGGAGGATCCCTTGAGCCCAGAAGTTCAAGGCTGCAGTGAGCTATGGTCACGCCAGTGCACTCCAGCCTGGGTGACAGCGAGGTCTTTTATCAAAAACAAATAAACAAACAAGGTCAGCCTCTAGACTAGGAAGATGATCAGGCGCCAGAGTAAGAGTTGACTTCGGTGTTTTCCCAGTGCCATATGGAAATATACGGGGAAAAGTTTAAAAATGTGTTTTTCTGGATTAGTCAAAGGTATTTGCATGAAGGATAGTTCTGACTTTGCCCTCCCAAAATAAAAAAAAAAAAATAAAGGCCTGTGATTTTTTGCCCTCTAGCAAGTAAAAGGCAGGAGACCTGGATTTTGTCTCCCCAGTTGGTGTTTAGGAAAGTACTAAATTAAACTTCATTTTCTGAGTGTATGTAGGCAGAGGCCAAGTCAGGTCCAAGCCAGCAAGGACTCCAGGAAAAGCGGGACCTTCAATAGTTCTAGGAACTATGGTGTGACCAAGTCAGGGTACTTGTTCTGTGCTTTGCGGGTGGGGCACGGATTGAGGAAGTGGCGTTGGGGAATTGTGGGTACAGCATGGGGAAGATGGCAGGCTTCGCTGAGTCTGGGAAGACCTGAGACATGACACACAATTAGCAGTAATACAGAACATGTCAGGCTGGGATGCAGTGTGGGACACTGGCCCACAGTCATATACCCACAGAGTGCGTGTTGCCCTTTTATGCTCTCACTTCTTTCTTCCCTTCCCTTCTCAAATCAGAAGTTTCCCTAGACAGCCCTCTGATAACTAGGGAAGGGAACAAGCCTGTCTGTCATGTTCCTGAGAAGTCTGTGTGGGGCATGGAGACCTGTCATACTCTATGACTTGTTAACAAGCAAAAATGCAGCCGTGTCACAAACCCTCACCACCTCTTTCATTTTTGCCTCAAACTTCTTTCGTTTTCTTCTGCATTGCTTCCCATTATTTTCACCCATCCACCTAAGCCGTTCATAGAGGTGGTAAGAAACCTAATCATAACTGAAAAGAGCCTGCAGGGAACGTTGCCCTCACACTCTCTCCTCCAGGATGGGTGAGATCAGGCTCATGAGAATGCAAAAGTCTTAGGATCCCACTTCTTGGGAAATGGGCCAGGGAGGAATCCCCATGGTCTTACCTGTCACTCTGGATTATAGTTCCTGCCATCTGTGGTTATCAGCAAGCCTGGGTGACTTCTCTATCTATCATACCACATCTATTAGCAAAGAAGTTTGAAGGAGGGAACACATGCATCCCAGAATGTGATTGATGTGTAAGCCACACTGTGGTGAAGCACATCCCAGCTGAGGGACTATGGGATGTCTCTTTATATTCTCATTCTCCAATTTCAAACGACCCAAGTTGCCAAGACCCTCTTAGAATCAACCAACTTGCTACAAAAAATTAACAAATTATTATTATAGGACAATGATACCTTAAGAAACACAGTTAATTTCTGATGCATGTAGACTGCAGAATCCAGGTCCAATTAGGATTATATAACCATACAGACACTGCAGATAAGCAGCAAAAGCATCCCAACTTACGAGGTGCCATGAGAGAGCTGCTGGTATCTGTGTGTGTAATGACTCCATCTCAGGTACCCTAAGTGTGTCTCCTTATGCATGGCAGAGGAAATAGAGGTACTGTATTCCTGGATCACCAGTGGCTTTTGATTACATGATAGCCTGGGCAATGAAGAGCAACTTATTCTACTCCTGAGTAGAATCTCCTGGTCGTATACACTCTGATACCCCTGCTCCTCCCCACCAGTGCACACTGTTGTTACATAGCAGAACCCTCATCTATTGGGTGGGTTGTTTTCACTGTCTTAGGCATAATGTCTGGTACATCTATAAATTACATATAGTATATCTCTGGTGCTAATTCTGTTCTTTGCCCACTGGGGAAGCGGCTGATGTAAAACTCTTGGCCAGAACAGGCAAAGGAAAATGTCTGCCCTGGGCCCATCTCAGTCTTTGCTGTAAGATAACTAATCTTCTTAGGTTCACATCCAGTCTGCGGCGGCTTAGAGCCTTTCCCACATCAAAACCTTCATACCAATTATTGGCAAACCTCAATCTTCAGTTGCCTGTAAGTTATGTGTTTATTTATTTATTTATTGAGATGGAGTTTCGCTCTTGTTACCCAGGCTGGAGTGCAGTGGTGCGATCTCAGCTCACTGCAACCTCCGCATCCTAAGTTCACGTGATTCTCCTGCCTCAGCCTTCTGAGTAGCTGGGATTACAGGCATAAGCCACAGCGTCCAGCCTAAGTTATGTTTTAAGAAATGTTTTCATCAATCTTGTTTCTCTGGCTTTAGCTGTTAAGATTCTCCCTAGCTACTATAAATATTTCATCTGTGTTAGAATTAAGAAGCGGCACTCATCTTCATTTCTACAATATAAGTGACTATTTTCCACCTTCTCTGGCAATGGGGAGAACAGTAAAAGACCATTCTGACTTCGGCAGGAAGAGGGCAGCTTATTGATTGAAGCCACCTGAAGAAGTTTTTCCGATTAAGTTTTGGCAGGCCTGTTTGTTACACTTTGTGCTGGTCTATCAGACCGCTCACATCTGTCTATATAACCTTAGGGTTTAGTACTTAATGATATATTGAGGGGGCTGCTCTATCCTCTTTCTGATGCCCCATTCTCCACTCCTTTATCTCTGTCTCTGTCTTTTTTTTTTTTTTTTTTTTTTTTTTTTTGTCAGGGGTCCACGAGCTGGTCTTTCAGGAAGCATATTTGTCACCTTCCTTGGGAGGCTCCCACAAGAACATTCACACCGAATTTCTCAGGAATACAGAAGTGTATCTTCTGAGAGTGCAGAGAAGTGATTGTAGAATTGAAAGTACAAAGATTAAGGAAATGGCTTGAATCCACTACTTTGGATGTCTTTTTTTTTAGTCAGGACCTTGCTCTGTCACCCAGGCTGGAGTGCAGTGGCATGATCTTGGTTCACTGCAACCCCCCCGCCCCAGGTTCAAGCAATTCTGCCTCAGCTTCCTGAATAGCTGGGACCACTGCCACTCACCACCAGGCTCACCTACTCTTTGCATTTTAGTAGAGACGGGGTTTCACCATGTTGGCTGGGCTGTGATCTGCTTCCCTCGGCCTCCCAAAGTGCTGGAATTACAAGTGTGAGCTACTGTGTCTAGCCCATTCCCTTATCTCTTAACAGAAGCCCTGTATTCCAGCCCTCCAAGAGCTGTAGCCTTCGAACTTGTAGCCAGTAAACATCTGGCAAAGGTAACTTCCTCATCCACTCACATCTGGCAGGGAACTGTCTTCTGGAGGAGGCTGAGACATAAGCCCTGGGAATCACATGTTCTTTCGGATGGAGAATTCTCTGTCTGTGAGTAGGGTTTTTTAATCTGCTAAGATGGTCAATATGCAGACACACATGTGACCATGAGAAAAACATTCAGTATGCATACCCACACGTGATCAGTTCATGAGACCTCACTTGGGCTCCGGCCTCCATCTGATTTAAATGCAGAAAGTCAAATTCACCAAGATCCCAATTCTGAAAATTATCAGTGAATCTTGGAAGTTCTGGAAATATGCTCTGGTCATCCCTTCTCTCTTAAACTGTACCTCTAGTCCTGGATTCCTGCTTCATTCTTCCCATAGACCATTGACACTCACCTGCCCCTACCCCTCAGAACCACTGACCTCAAGCTGCTGCTCTTTCTAGTTCTGCCTTGTGCTGGCGTGGGGCACAGACCCTTCCCACAGCCTCCCACAGTAGGAGTTAAAGGAAAGAAAAGTCTGCAGCCTAAGTTTAAGAATCATGGAGGTGCAGTTCAATATGGAGAATAATGCTCGACTTCAGACATGTGGCTGCACTCACAGCCCCTGGCTCAAATCTAAAACCGTCTTCAGGGGATCTCTGCAGGCTGCTTTTCAGCCAGCTGCCAGCCCACCATCATCTCAAAGGCTCAGTTTCCTTCCTTGCAGAGAGAGGGGCCTTCAACCACATCTGCTTTTCCAGGATCCAAGCTCCAACACATGTAGGCACTCAAGAGGGAAGGCAACCTGAGCCTCACTCCACCCTAAGTCATGCCGTCCTGATCTTTCTGTC